ACCGGCATTCTTCAGGCGAGGCCAATAGTGTAAAATGCGCCCCCTAGTACATGCAAGATCCCTGTTTGGTTGTTTGGTGCACTACATGAAATTAGCGCCCAGCGCGTGTTTACTATGCGCTCGTTAAAGAACGTACAGTACTGAAGAAGAGCTCTTAACAGCCCGTGCGTAGTATTTGCTCGTGGTTGTCAGGTTATTCATGTGTTTTTTTGTTGTTGTTTTTTTTTGTGAAAGAGCCTATTTCTTCTTGAAAATGTTTGGTAGAGTGTAATACTAAAATGTGTCCCCACTCATAATATAGTTCCACAAATGTTACGCGATTATTTCAATCCAATAATTTTCATGTGGAAAGGAGCGACATGATGAGCACATAGTTGGTAGCGGAGGAGTTGCGCGTGATAGGAAATAGTGGTTAAATCTCCCATTATGCTGTAAAAAGACTTCTAGAAACTTAAATTCTCATATCCTCATATAAAATAGCTGTTTATATGCTTCATATTAAAACGTTAGGTATGTGAACTGTATTGTTTACTTTCTTGTCTTACTTCGAACAAAGAGAAAGTATTGTAATCGTGCACTGGAAAACGGCGATTTTTCGACAGAAGAACTTCTCCTGAAGGGCCCTCGTGACGAAAGCTGGTTTTGATTGACTTGTTTTTAAATATACTTCCTATATCACGTTGTGTCGTCAGTAACCGGGTTTTGTCGGTCCTTGATATCGAAAAATCGATTGACGGCAAAATGTCCGTCCGCCCATCCCTTTAACTGAGGTCAACGCTTACGCCTCGCAAGCGGAGTAGGTCGGCACCGATGGGAAGCCTCCCTCAGTGGTTTCACCTCAAAAAGACATTACAAACATTATTCAAAATAAACTATTAATTTATTGAAAATATTGTTTGAAATTAAAAGATTGTTGTTTTTTTAATTTCGCGGTGTTCCTCCCCCACTGGATAGTAGACCAGGCGCCGACCTATACATCGCCTTGCGGGGCATTTCCTTTTCCAGTTTCCCTCTCCGTCAACTGAGCATCTCTCCAGCCGGGACAAGCTCTAATCTCCCGACCATGTGAGATAGTGTGGTGCTTGTAAGTGTAAATGGGTGTGTAAGCGTAGAGGATAGTACAAGGAAGAGGAAGGAAATATCGCGCGGTCCTTGGTCCGTTAGGGTACTTCTCCGGCATTTGCCTGATATTGATTGGAGAAACCAAGGGAAACTACCGAACAGAGTAGTCGTCAGTTAGAATTATCCTCGAGGCAGCTGCTCAATCCGACCTATGTACGTAGCTTGTATCGAGACTCTGCTAGTACCAGTACCAGTTAATGGGAGGCCGCGGGTTCGATCCCGGCCAGGCGTCAAAAAGTTACTTCTCTGGGTTCGACATAGAACATTTCTCGTCTTGCCTGCTGCATGTGCACGTGAATTCCCATACAGAATCACGATTCCCGGAAGTTCTGCGAAACAAACAAATTATTAAATTGTTGGTATCTACTCTGAATTATCAGCCTTTTATCTTTTCAAAAATCAAACTTAACATTTATTCAATACTTTTACACAATTTTCGAGAGCTCATGAATTAAGAAATTAACTTTTTGTCTGAATTACATGAATGTACCGTACTGCTAACTTTTCAGATGTTCTTTTCGGCTGTGCTTTCAAGTTCGGCTGTGCTTTGAAGTCCAAATTATATCGCGACGTGATTGATCCTCGCTGGGCTTCGGGTGAAATTCGCTATTCGCTATTACTTATTTTCAACCGACTTCATAAAAATGTCTCCCCATCTACGGAGCTATCCGGACATAAACCCCTTCGGAAAACGGAGTCCGTTTGACTTAAATATAACAATTATTTTATCAACAAGAAAAATCACAATAATAATTTGATTCGTTGCCTTAAAAACGTCTATTCCTTGGCTTCTAAACGTTTTGTATACGTACCCTTCCCTCGTAACTGCACGATTTATGTAAATACTTCCATGCAAAATAGTGTGGGGTCCTTTGGCTTATCACAATATATGCAAAGCAGACGGAGGTCAACCCAAAATGATCGCGTGCGTCGGACCGCAGTTTCACGTGGAGTACCTCGCGTCGTAAGCCGATTTTTTAAATGAAAATTATTTTTTCAAATTATTATTATTATTATTATTATTATTATTATTATTATTATTATTATTATTATTATTATTATTGTTGTTGTTTTTGCGAAATAAGTTTCAACAAAATTGGTAGAATAATCAAACGTTTTGCAAAATATGTATAATATGCAAAATAGTACAAAATATGTGAAAATAGGTAACGAAAAAGTTTGGATATTGTGTTAGTATTGCCCTGATATGCTGAGGTCAAAATTTGGAGTACTGAACATAAAACCAAAAATATGTAATTACAAAATATGTAATAACAAAACTTGTATTTGGGTATTTTTCTTTTGTTTTCTAAATAAATATTTTGTATGTATGTCTTTGGCATTTTAGGGTCCAATTAATCTTTTACTGGCAAGTTCCCAGATCTGGGCCCTGCTTTTATTTAATACCTACGCATGGGGTTTTAAGGGAGACATGTAATGAGCAAGACGTATTCCCTTCACTATATCTAGTAAACTTGATCTGCCTGAGCTATTCATTCGTCACGCAGCTATCGAAACTGAGACGATTGTAATGGAAAGCAATAGCTATTTTTCCCCAGGTCGCGAATCGAACCCGGGAACGTACCATGGAAAGCTAGCATGCTGTCCAAGAGACACCCAAGGTTCTGCAATATAAATAAATGAATAAATACAGACATACAAATACGGACTGAACTAATCAGTGATTTTCGTTGTTTTCCTTTCAACGCGAATGCCGAGTAGCACCCGCAATGGTTTATTGGCAGCATTGTCGTTACCTCTGATATTTCCGGACACGGCTGTAGTCACGTCGACTGCTATAGTCATTATTTGCGTTAGTGCAGTGAATGTTTTATAACGGTGCCTCCCCTATTTCATGGTGTGGTTCGTCGCCCATCTCGACTTGCGGAGGATTTCCTCTACAAGTATTTTCCCCGAGCCAGCCGGAACAAGCTCTAAGCTCCCGACAGGTCTCCCGACTTGTATGGTAATGTAGTACATGTGAGTGTAAGTGTGTAAGGGGTGAGGATAAGACAAGGAAGAGGAAGGAAAGATCGCGCGCGGTCCGTCCAGATCGGTCGTTGGGGAAACGCCCAGGCATTTGCCTGGTATTCATAGGAGACAACAAGGAAAACTGATCCCGATCAGTGTAGTGGTCCTCCAGAGAGCGTCTGAATTCGACCTATGTATGCGTTGACTCTAGAGCGTCGCTGACCGGGTCCTGGGGATCGAGTTCTGTCGGTGGAATATTTCTACTCTAGCTTCATAGCTATTATATACAGTCCGATTTTATAAATGTGCCTATCGCGCTGGGATTTGGCCTCGGCGAACGAAGCCACGGATGTCGGGGTAATCGAGACACAGCGGACGGAAGAATTGCCAGAGGGAAGGTGTAATTTCGCTACCGGAAGGTTTTAATTGTACTCACGTTTTAGTAGATGCTGGAACTGCTCGCCACGGCTCTGATACGTTCTTGCATTTAAATAAGCTCTGGTTCATTCGGCGAAAGATGTTCTGTGGAATTGCATAAATCTGTTCTCTGTATTGTGCCTTAATTCTTCTTCCGTGTGGGGATTTGTCCCGTATATATGCCATCTTTCAGGAATCCCCAAGAAAGAAATCGCACGGAGTCAGATCAGAAGAGTGTGCAGACCACAAACCATGTCTAATAATTCTGTTTACATAAACGGCATGCAAACCCTTAAGTAAACTAAACCAATGTGTGCTGTTGCGGAGTCCTGTTGAAAATGACCGTAATTACGCTTATTTCTCAGCATTTGGAAGAAAGGCTCCAGGATACGATGCACGTAACGGTTTGACACATTTTACGTATGTGTCATACACAAACACTTTCTGTTTGTGAGTGAACTTCGAACGAGTCATCACAAACTGACTATTCAATAAGACTGGAAAGCATATATTTTGCTGTGCGACACCTTTAAACGCAGCGTTCCCAGAGGAGTTCAGCAGACCGTTCTCGAGCGAGTGACGGCCCGTCGGAATTTTCTTCGGTCTCAGCTCACAAATAAGATAGTCGTACTGTAGTAGTTCGTTTTCAACCATTAACTGGAAGAAAATTCTAGAGGCAAACTTCTCTAATCTATAGATTTCTGTATTTTGTTTTGCTTTATTAATCAATACCTGAGCCTGTTCAGTATCTTAACAAACGGGTCACGAACCGCGCGCGCGATCTTTCCTTCTTCATCCTCGTCCCCTATTCTCTCCTTACACTTACAAGCATTACACAACCACCAGTGGCGTAACCAGAGATGAGGCCCGCAAAACGTTTATCCGGCCTCCTTTATAAAAGAGAATAGCAAACACAAGTAGTGTTAATACTTTAAATAATAAAAAAATACCCCCTACAGGCCCCCTTTTACCCGAGCCTGCCCGCATTGCGGTCCCGAACGTTACGTCACTGGCTACCACACGTCGCAATGCCGGTCGGGAACTTAGAGCTTGTACCCGCTGGCGTATACCTGGAAAGGGAAAACCCTGCCAGCCGACGTGTAGGTCCGCGCCGGATCTCTCATTTCAGCGGGGAATGAATACTGCCTCCACTCGGGATATAACAGGCACTACACTTTCAAGACTAATAACCAAAAGCGTTGGCGCATTCGGAAATATCCAACCGAGCAGCACCCTTGATTACGGACGACGATCCTACTTTCCCTAGAGCCGATCACCCAATCTCATCGATTCAGTAAACCTCCGACAGGCGTCGGAAATACGTAAAACTGCGACAAGCCATGAAGCGGCGTGATCCTCTGTGACACTATAAAAAATAAATGTCTCGGTGGGGAAAAGATGATTAAAATTCTTCTATTGTTTTGGCGCCAAGAATGTGAACCACTTTGGCGTGTGGTTTCGTTTGGTTACCCCCCACCTTTTGGTCGATGATCTTACTTCACTTTTGTATTGAACGTACCGAGAGAGGGCAGCACTTTCTTGTTGTAAACGTATGTGTTATGGTTGTCGGTTGGAATGTATTCGTTTGGAATATAATTGCCATTTATACGTATTTTGTGACTAAAATACTGTATTAAACGTTTTTGACTGTTATGTGAGGCTTTGGAAATCCTCACAAGGAAACGTGAAGTGATTCCTGTGAAATAACCTGGTTATTTGTGAGAACGGATTTGAGCAAGCAGCGAGGTGGATAGAAGCGAAACTCAGTGCAAATCGTTTGGACCCCAAGTGCTCTTTCAACTTTCATAACATTGTGTATTAGTTCTTATTTTAACCATTCGTTTGATAGTATTGCATGATAATTGTAATGATGAAGGGTGACGTTTGTCCCAAACAAAGTGCTCTGTAGTAAATTGGGAACTCCGTATTCCGTAGAAAACGACAAGCCGACACGCTTTTGATGTTCGCCGTGTATACTCCGAAAATTAGCGCTGGTTGTTTATAAAAGTTGTATTATTCTGCCTGCTTGTCACATCTCAGGGAAACTGAAACTATTGTTTGTGAATATTATTGCAATTTAAATTAGCTGAATACGTATTTTCGCTTGGAATATACCGAAAAGTCGAAGCTTGTATACATAACCTAAAAATGGAGAAGGGAGCCGGGAACGAAAATGCTCCTAAAGGGGTAAGCGACACTACTGGAGATTTAAAAGAATCTAGTGTTGTTTCTAATTCAAAAGTAGAAGAGCCGAGTGCTAAGACTGAAGAGGCGAAGAAAGAAAATGGAATTGAGAAGACCCCGGGAGTAACTGAAACGAATATCAAAATCGACAAGGAAGAAAACGGAATTGATGAGAAGACTTCTGGAGAAATTCCAACTAAAACGACTAAAAATGTTGATATGACCGTGTTTGTAGGCAAATTGAGTGACAGGTTAGTATTATCTTTAAACAAGTTTTCTTGAATACAGTATTACATTATTGTTCAGAAATTATTTCTGTCCTAAGCACATTTGTACTAATATATCACGTATTTGGGGAAATTTTAATATTTCCTCGTATGTAAGTGCACCTTTTTAGTCATTTTTCAGTGCAAGTTTTAGGTATTTTAAAATTGTTCTCTGTAATTTGTTGTAATTGATTACTTATGTTTGATGACCTTAAAAAAGTATAAATATTATTTTTCTTTACTATTTGTCTTTTAACACTAATATGACAGCTGGAAAACTGATAAAGCTTTTTTTTTTTTTTCAAATTTAAGCTCGAAGGTGAATACAGAAATATTCATATGAAAACTTACATTGTGTTGTAATATGTTTTATAAAAACATGGGGTCAGATGTTGGTGCTTACTGTTTATTTAATTGGTCTGTAAAGCATGGGATACTTTTGGTTGTACACGAATTATCTTGTGACTTAAAAGTGTGCTCGTTTAGTTGCCCTTAATTATGTGGTCATATTTTTCTGAAAGTGAAGTCTTTCTGGAATAAGTTGTTAAAATATTTTTGAGTTATGATATCAAGGTTTCATTTGTACAGTAAAACAATAACTGTGTTCACAAGTGTGAAAAATATGATTACGTGGCTCTTTTCTCTGAAATGTGGGCTTGTGCATTTTTGTGAAGCAAAATTGCAAGTTGTAAATGTATTTTCTTATATTTAATAATGGTTTTTAATTTTCCTGATTATCTTTATTTGTTTTCTTAAATATTTGAGGAAAGCCATTGTTATTTAAGGTAGGAATTACGCGATGCTTTCTGTTAAAAATAAACACTTCAAAATGTTTGCAGCATTATGAAATAGGAGTGATGCTTACTTTAAAAATGTTGGAAAAATGAACCTTTTGATTACATGCATTTGTCGTAGCTGAAAATAAATTCATACATGTTCTTTAGTGCTAATGAACTCAATATTAGGTCATATTGTTGGAATAGCAACTGAAAACATTCTTAGTTTAATTTAAATGCAAACCAGTTGAATGTGCTTATTCAATTTTGCAAGAGAGTATTTGATGTTACATGCTGATCCAGTGCTCACACGTTGAAATCATGGCCCACTGCCTTGTGAAGTGGAATATATTCGTGTGGTACTTAGTTCTCAGATGATTAATTTTCCACTGTTCTGAATTTTTAATTAATATTAAACGAGGTTTATATTAGATTTAATCTTCACATTCATATTTATTGTGAACTTTTTGAAATAAGGAAAGATATTCTTTAAATGAAGGAATGCTTTGAATATGTAACTGAAAAAGAAATTCTGAATGTTTGACCGTTCAATGTGTTTAAAATAATTTAATGGTTCATATTGTTTGACATAGTATTATTAATTTATATATTTGGTAGAGGGGGAAAGTGTGTGGTGTTACTTTATAGGTCATGTTTCTAGTTCTACCCATTGCAATATTAATTGTGCCCTATTTACAGGATTAGAATGTTCAAAATAATTGTGATTGCTCTGTTTTTGTTTGTGTGATTAAATGTTGTTTTGCGGCACATCTACTGCTATGGTCATTAGTGCTGTTAGTGTAATGAATATTTTATCCCGAGGGGAGGCAGTGTTATTTTTATGCTGGATGGTGAGATTCAGTGCTGATATACATGATAGCTTGCAGGGGATTTCCCACACCAGGTGTCTCCCCCCAGTGGGGCACTACCCCAGCCGGGACAAGCTCTGAGCTCCCAACTGGTCTCACGACATGATTAGTAAAGTAGTCTGTGTAAGTGTGTGTGAAGGGAGAATAGAGATCAAGGATTAGGAAGAGTAGATCACACGCTATCCTTGGCCCATTTGTTAGGGTACATCCTTGGAATGTGCCTGGTAGTGATAGGAGAAACCATGGAATTGTACTGACCAGAGCAGCTGGCTGCTAGAATTCTTCTCTAGACAGTGTCTGAAATCAACGTAGCTACATAGCTAGTCCTTTGCATTTACAGTGTTAAAATTGAAGTTGGCAATTCTAGCAAGTGAAGTTTGTATTTTATTGTCAGTTTACTTTTTGTATTTTTATATTTTTCATACTTGTTTGTATGCGTTTGTTGTGATTAAATTGGAGTTGTTAATGTATATTTAATAGGATTTAAGGTATTAGTTTTGTTATATAATTTTAAATAATTTTTTAAAATATCATTAAAACATTTCAATAGATTTGGCAAAGATGTTTTTTGGAGCTGGGTAAAATAGAGCCAACCTTGGGAAGCAAAACATACATTTTTATGGGTGGAGTTAAATTATTTTCAAAAATTTTAATTAGTGAAATTGTTTATATGCTCATAAAGTACAGCTGTGTAGCTACACTAGGGTGTAATCAAATTAGAAAGATATTCTAGGTCATTTTTGACACAAAGGAAATTTTAAGTGTCATTGAAATTGTACACTATAATAAAATCTCATAACTTAAAATTTGCAATGAATGAATTATTTTAACTAGTTTTCAATGCAACTAGAACATATGCACACCCAAAGAAAACGGGTATCAGTTAATTCAGGAAATATTTATACAATAATTTAAAGTAAGTTAGTTTAGTTTAGGTGAAGTGATGACCTTGTGAATCCCACCTAATTGGTAAAAAACTGAAATTGACTGTATCTTGGTTTATTTAATTGTATGAGCCAACATTTCATCAATTTAACTCTTAACTAAAGGGTTTTACAGGGAACAAGATATTTGTTAACGTCAGGTTGTGAACTCACAATTTATCACTTATTGCCTTGATAATGATGTGTATTAATAAGGATTCTCTAATGAGCATTTGGATGTATTAGGGCCCCTGCACATGCTTTGAAGCACTTTACGTAACTTGCGTCGTAGGATAACAATATCTTATTCGCACCCCCACACAAGCACTTTGGCCATTCCACATATGATAGTGTTGATTTACGACACATGGCAACACAGTGCTCATGTGACACAGCCCTTAAATGAATTAAAGAATAGATGAGAAGCATTGAACAATTGAAGCATTAATATTTGTAGGTTTATTCAATATTTCCAAATGCTGCCTATCATGGGAAACTTATTCAAACAGATAATTGTAAAGTCTAGGTAATTATGATAAATAAATATATTGTCTTATCAATAGATACAAGACAACATATTGATACCAGACAATATCTTTATTTATTTATCATAATAAAAAGGTATCTACCTCACCAACAATCCAATTAATTAATCAAGGTAATTAATTGTGACTTTGCAACCTTGTGTTGATATAAATATTGTCCTCATTTTTGTTTTATGTACAGTGCTGAAGAGGTAGAGGGAAATTGATAAACATTGGTTGATCTAGTTTATAAAATATGCTACATTATTTTTTATAATAGCAGTGTGCAATGCTTATATCAGTTTTTACTGAGTGTTTGGATTCAGAAGGTGATTACTTTATCTGGATCTGTCAGCACAACACACATTCAACACTGGGAGTAAGGTAATTTTAGCGCAACCAATAATAATCGTAGGATATGTAACCACTCTGTGCATTTTTTTAATAATGCATAATTTAGGCTTTTGCAAGTAGTAAATCATATTTCTTGAAACTGCTAATTGGAAATCTTTTGTGGTATTTGGATATATGGTTATTGATTGCTAAATGTTACAAATGTGCAATATCCTAGGTAATTTATGTAAAATCTCCTCAGAAATGAGTTAAATACAATTAATCCTATAACAGTAAAACTCTCATATTCTTGATAAACCCTCACACTCTTTTGTCTATATGGGCACCTAACACTTAGAAGTAATTCTTTTAATTTTTATCAAGATTATATATATATATATATATATATATATATATATATATATATAAAACTTTTATTTTTCTATTGAAAACAAATTTTCGTTGTGATAGTAATTCCTGTACAAACGTAACGGAATCAACGTAACGGAACTGCCAACCCACTGCACATTTTGACGGGGGGAGATGGATTTCCGAGTTTTTGAGGGGAATCATTTGGTGCTCAGAGGTAGTATATCTAATGTGTTCTTTGTGTTGCGTTATGGAAATTTTAAATGGGCGTTTGTTTATTGAAGTACGAGGGACAGTAAGATTGATGTAATTGGCCTTCGCGAAAATGACTTGGTGGATGCTTTCCTTAAACAAATAAAACGTACCAGTATTTATGATCCATCGTCTTCTGTGGTTATCTCAAAAGTATTTTCGCATAAAATGCGTTGCACCTACTCAGTCTTTGTTACCAGCGCGTGCTGAAGGCCCGAACCCTGCCCTCAACTCGGAAATGCTCAGCGAAGCGAAAACATGGCCGTGAAAATAAGTTTGCATACACCAAAAAAGGCAGTAGACTGTGTGTAACGAATGAAATGATACACGCTAGTATAAGTATTCCACCGGCGGGGCATTGAACTGGAAGCTATGTGCTTAATAAGAGAGAAGGGGTGGGAGTTCTGAAAAAATGTTTTTTCTTGGTCCCAAATATATTCCCCCCAATTCCTTCAAAACTTTCGGCGAATTTTTTACGTTATTCCGCTACAGCCTTTGTGACTAGCCCGTTTTACTCTCTAATATTCTACTACGTTGATTAGAGAAAGTAGGAATTGCAGTACAAGAAAGAAAGAATAGAAAACTTTTTACAGAAAAAAAACCTTTTGCGGGCCCTTAATGCCGTAACGGGTGGATTTTTCTTATTCCAATGTGTAGTAAACTACATTCTCGAATACGCAGTGACCACGGTTTGTTGGGCCTTGATACCGAGTAAATTGTTTTCGGTAAAATGTTTGCCTGTCTGTGAACAACAGTAGCACCGAAATCATTCATAGGATTTTCACCAAAATTGATATTTCTTGATCGATCTGGCTGAATGAAGCTGATCGAATTTGAAAGTCATTTTTATATTTGAGCATACTTTCCGTGAAGCTCCAACGACATTTTCTCAAAAATGTTTCCAAACTTTTTTTATGCGTCTCGAAGCTGTTTTTTCTTACGCTTTACTCTTTAGTGAATATTAAACTACACAAGGTGGAGCTTCAAATGCAAGAAACAAACGATGAAAATAAACACTGCATAAATGTACTGTGCGGTCTGCTTGAACACCAGGCAAGACGACTTGCCTAATACCGAAAATGGATGGGGAAATGCACAATAAGTGCTATGCATGGTTATCCACCTAAGAGCCCCTTCCCACGTCGCGACGGCGGTGCTCTTCCGAGCAGCGCGGCGCGTGGCAGAGCATTGGTTTGAAGGGAGGCCTCTTGACGTCTGACTGCGACGAGACTGGACAGCAGACGAAGAAAATTAACGGGGGATTATTCCAAATAAAGATATAAATGGAGGATTATTCATAGCAAGCCCTAAACGCCCTCCGATGGTTGATAACGCTTTGCGTCAGTTACAGACCCCCCCCCCCCCAAAAAAAAAAGCCCTGTAGTAGCGCACAGCCCCACAATCGTGCCAGAATTTAGGCCATCAGAACCAAGGTCCATATTCATATGGACCATTTTTAATTTTTTTTTAAATCCATATTTATTGCAAGTAAAAAAATAGCCAAAGGGTTTGACTATTATCTCTTTCGGGAGAAAAATAACAGTTGTAGTATACCAGATCCAACAAGGGGACTTGTTACAGTACCGTGGATCTGGTATACTGCAACTGTTCCTTTTTTTCTGAGTAGGAATCAGTGCTTGAATGCTGTAGTCATATCTTTTTCCTGACCAAGCATTGCTATTAGGACCAATGTTTTCAATGTTCACATTTTTATTTCGAATCTGGTGTCAGAAACCAAAATATTTCTGATTATTATTTTTATTTGATACCATTTTGAACCATGTAGATATAAAAATTTAAAAAAGTAGAAGTAAACTGAAAACATTGTTTCGTGGATTTGGAGAGGATTTGATTTAAAAAAAAAAAATCTTATTTATTACTTGTAGTGGTTAGGTCAGAATCATTGTTCAAAACATTTTACTTAGTTTCCTTTTGAGGAAAATTTGTTTTACAGTATAATTCAGCTGGATAGATGCTTTAAGACAGAGAAATTTGGAAACTGCCAGGAAAATACAGGAAAAACATGCAGAAAACAGATTCAGTTGAAGAACAGTCTCCTGATGATAGTGATGATATTATTATTATTATTATTATTATTATTATTATTATTATTATTATTATTATTATTATTATTGTTGTTGTTGTTATTATTATTTTTATTATTATTATTAAGTATATCAACATCAAAAATTGATTGAAATAATTTATATAATGTAATTTACAATAATTTTAGTATTACTTTGTTACATTTACTAATTACTCCAGAAACAACGGTATCTAGAAGCTTCCTTTATTCTCTAGTATTATTGTTAAAATAAAATAAAAAATAAGTAGGAAAAAATTGTACAACTGAGCAATTTAAATCCTCTGCACAAATATGCTTCAGAAATTAAACGCCCATTTATAAATAAAAATATATAATTCTGACTTAGAGCTGGCACTAGTGCACAACTCAAAAGTAAATCTTTCATCCACCCTTGACAAATGTTGAAGGAATGTTTCAGTATTTAATGAACTGTGTTTAAAAACTTATATATTTAATGAAAGATACATATAATGAACTCTTGAGAGAAATATTACAGTAATGGTGTATAATACTTTGGTGTCTCTTTCAGATCAAGGAGTTCTTGTACAGTCAATTTGTTTCAAATGATTTTACAAATTGAGTTTTCTTTACTTGCTGACACGGAAATATTAATCAATATTAAGATTTTACATAAAGTGAAACCAACATTTCTTTCACAGGGTTACACCAGATGAACTGAAAAAATTCTTTACTAAGGAAACAAAATCTGAGGAAGCAGAAGTATTGGATGTGAGCATGCCATGGAAAGTAGTGAAGAAATCTAAGAAACTGGGAATTGCATTTGTGGACTTTGCAAATAAACGAGCATATGAGGTACTTCTTTTTTGTTATTGTTATGTAATATTCTATTGCATTTGCTTTTGAGGAAACACAAAGTTGATTGTAATATGAATTTGATATTTATCTGTTAAATGGATTTACATAAAGTGTAGATTTTAAATATCGTAATATCAATTGGATATTCACTTTTGTATGTCTACAGCCTCCGTGAATGAGCCGATAACTTGTGAAACTGAAGTTTTCAGTGGTTAGAGTGAAAAGTGAAATTTTTAGGAAATTAACATATTTTGCCTTCTTGTTATTATTTGAACTAATCTTCTAGTATGAATAATTGGGCAACTCCTTTTCTTGTTAGTTAATGATTTGTGAAATTTTTGTAATGTTTGTATATGTGCCAGTTTCTCAACAACCAGAAGGTATTTAACTTGTGATTTTTCACAAATACATCTAATGATTAGGGGAATCTGTAGTATGTGTACTTATCTCCTTTTCAGTAAAATGTTAACTTGCAAATAGTAAATGTAGATGTCCTGGTTAATTTATTGATAACGTTATAAAAGAAATGTTATTTTTGTAATTTCTAATACTTGATTTGTAGATAGATTTAAAAATACAGTTTAGCAGAAATATATTACCTTTTAAAGCAAATTACTGAAGAATATATTCCATTAGGATTTAATGTGAAAACAGATTAGCATATAAACTTATTGTAAAGCTGACTCATTATCTGAGAACTAGTAAAATGGTAAACCAAAACAAAAAAAATTAACCATTAGGAAACAAACTATAATGGTTCCATTGAATTAATAATTGAAACCAAAAAAAGTGTACATAAAGATGCTATATATTCCACAAAGATAAAACCAGTTTTGCAGAAAATCATTGTCTGTTTTATTGACATGAAAGATATGTACTCTTTATAAAGTTGAATTAATTGCACACTATTCAGAGACAGATATTCATATACACCGCTTGATTTATAAAATTTTAGGTTCTATTTAGGTTTAATTTAATAATTATTCCTGAGATACCAGATGCCATTCCATTGCATTCTACCAGAAATGAGGCCCTGTTCAATTGTAATTTTTTTATATTTCAGGTGGCTTTGACCTTGAATAATGCTCCACTTCATGGTCAGAATATAATAGTCTTACCTGCTACCGATACACATCAGGGCCTGTTGCTTATGGATGGTGCAGAGGGGGAAGCTAAGGATGGGGAAGGGGAAGGAAAAACAAAGAATGCTTATGTCCCTGTATACAAGAAGAGTGATCATGTGGCTTACATTAAAAATCTTCCTCATGGGTAAGTCTTGAAAAAAGTAAACCATTGATAAGATTTCAGAATGATTTGCCTGCCATAAGGCTGTAATACGCATCATTCAAGATAGCATTTGCTGAAGTGAGAATAGCCTTTTTTGATTATATTGTTAACTATTGCTAATAGTGTGTTTTAATTAATCTTAACAATATGTGCTTCTTGTTCGTAGTTAGTGAATGTTAGAAGGTAAGAGATTGATAAGAAAGTTGTGATGCTTATAAGTAGTCTGCCCTGAGTTTTTGCCAGCGATGCTGAACATCACATCACCTTGTCTAAATACGGTCTATAAAGGCTATTTCAGAATTAGAATTTAAAAAAGTACTCCCAAATATTTTTATCTACCTTTGTGTGGACTGGTATCAAGGAGGACTGTAGATACACCAAATTTTCAGCCGCATCCCCCTCCCTCCCTTTTTTGAAAAAAAATTAGTTTCTATTTTTGCCACATTAAAACATTAATGCCTGGAGCTGGTAGGAATGGCGTTGTAAATACTCGTTTATAAAAAAAGTTATTTAATTTTTAGAGGGAAAATTGTTTTTATCTGCTTAAAATGCCAAACAAATTTCACTTTTTCTTTTTTAAATTTTATTATTATTATTATTATTATTATTATTATTATTATTATTATTATTATTATTATTATTATTACTTTTTAGACTCTTTAAGTGAAACTACTCTCTGAATAAAAACATTTCATGAATGTTTTACATGGAGTTATTAAGATTATTTTGAGGAGTGGAACGTACATCAAAAAATTAAAAACTGATTTTTCATGATAATTCCTTTTTTCATTTTAAAAACACCAAAATAGAGTGTGTTTCCAAAATTGTCTCATGCAAAAGAAAAATGAGGAGCAAATAATAACATTACAATGTTTGAACAGATATTTGACAGTAGCCTGCTACCATCGTAATTGTTGATATAAAGTGTTGTAGGCCCTGAAAACCAGGGTTTTTTGACTCAAAGGGACATAAGTTTTGTAGGGACAGATGAGTTCTGTTGGGGTCTTGTGGGGGGAGAGGTGAGAAAATGACAAGGAACACAAGGGGAAATTAAGGGGGACAGGTGGGGCCCAAATTAATTTTCTTAAGCTCTATTCTACAAAATGAGATTTTTTTGAGCTTTCTATTATGTTTTGGCGATGTACTTTTGGGTGATTCCACTCCATAGCATGAGTGGATAGCTCCTCTTCTTCTTCTTCTGCTTCTCCTCCTCCTCTTCTTCTTCTTCTTCTCCTCCTCCTCCTCCTCTTCTTCTCCTCCTCCTCTTAGTCTTATTATTGCTGTAATCTTTTTATTGGCGAAAATATCTAAAACACTGGGAACCTTTACATGTATTCTTATAAAATAAAAAAATCATAAATTGTTGATTGTGCAGTCAAATATCGATTCATTAATTTACGCAATAAACAAAACACTACAACCAACGTTTATCCATCTTTCATCGTAGTATATTATGCATCTTTTCTCATTTCTAAACTTGCATAACTGGTGGATATGAATATCATCATAAAATTAAATAATTTTTTTCTATCATTACTGTCTTTCTTTCTCACTTCTCAAATCCCATCCATTTATATCAATAAGCATTAAAATGTATTTGAAATTTAGTAAATGTTTATCAGTGACATTACACACACAATAGTTGCAGGAATATTTTAAAATGGAAAGGCATCAAAATCATTGTACTTCTTTCCCTACTTTTTCTTTACTTTAGTCCAGTTGACTTTCTTTTTCTCGGGACCAGTATTTCATTCTCAGTTTTCTTTTTCTTTCTAAAGAAGGAATGTCTGCTGATGCATGTTGCTCTACAAAATGCATTCACATGATTCACTCGGTTTCTGGATGCTTTCCTTTAAATTTCTCTAATACTTTTAAAATGTTTTTTTATCACATTTAATTATTTCACTCTCTTCTCTATGATTCATTTTGATCTCTTTGACTAAATTACATAAATCTTCACTCAGAACCACCAGCAAAATCGACCGACGAGAATACCCAGAAAGATGAAATTCTTTAAAGGGCTTCCCATGATCAATCAAGTATTGATTTGGATGAACCCTTCCGCTGATATCATATAAACACATGCTTCCTTTCAGCCCTAGAGGTCACATCTCCTGTATCTGTGGCTTGTGTTTTCGTCGCTGCTCCCACCAAGCCTCAAGCTGCTGGTCTTCAAAACAAATGGAAAATACGCAGAAGTAATGCATCCCAAGTTCTTCGGGTGATAATAGAAAATAATTTCATGATTTTCCCCAAAATTTTGACACTGGAAGTTTTAATTGGATTTCGAGAACAAAAATTTCCTAGCAACGATATATTCAAATGCACAAATTAAAAATTGACGTATTTTTGTGGACAATTAATTTTTTAAAGGTTCACGTCTTAGGCATATCAATAAAATGAAAGCATATTCCCCAGTTGAAGTAACTGAAATTTTGTATCGATTTTTTTCAAAATAATTCTACCATTTTTTAGATATATTTCAATGATTTGAATAAAAAGTCAGTTCCGCATTATTACATCATTTTCATGATTTTATTTAAAAAGCAAATAAAAGAACCATTTTTCATGATTACCTTTGTATTCCTTGTCATTTTCTCTTCAAGACTACATTTTTCTTCTTATGTTTGCAACAATCGATTTGGCAACAGTGCATGAGATTTTTCCAGGAGTATAACACTGTCCAAAAGAGCCCATAATGGCATAAAAATTAGTATATATTACATAAAAAATTCATGCAACTGTCTTTCCCCAAAATTTTGTTTTGCATGAGGAAATTAATATATTACTCTAGAGTTTGGTATGTTTTCAAAATATAAAAATTGTAAATAAGGTAAAAAATCAGTTGTTAATTTTTTAAATATGTTCAATTTTATTTGTTTTGAAAAATACGTACACAAAATGAATCACTCACAAAGGAATCTTTTCTTTTCTTTGTTTCTTTCTTTTTTTTCTTTGCTTCTTCTTCTTCTTCTTCTTCTTCTTCTTCTTCTTCTTCTTCTCTTCAAGGGTGTTATAGTAATGTTTGGACCAAACATGAACTAAACAATTTTTGTTTTTATAAAGAAGTATTTACAAAATTATTCTTACCCATTCCAGGTGTTACGCTTAACGGTATATAGCAAAAAGAGAAATGTAAAAATATATATATATATATAAAAATATATATATATATATATATATATATATATATAAATTGGCAGGGGGTGTTTAAAAATGGGTCTATCTAATTTTTTTCTTTATTCTAAACCTAATCTACATACATTAGTTAATATTTCTTTCTGCCTGTAAAAGTAACAATTTTGTCAGGTTTTTTCTTAGTCTTTATTTTAAAGAAGAAATTGCAATTTTTTGGATCATTCATCAAATGGATTTTCATCAAATTAAAAATAATAAAATATATATTCAATTTATTAAAACGTGTATTACAGTATTAACTTTCAAAGTTGCAATAATTATTTCCATCATTAGGCCGCAATTAAAATTACAAAAACAATAAGTAACTACAACATTTTGAAAGATGAACAGAATTTAAACATAACATTTCATGTACATAAGTCACTGAATGAAATTCACCTTGATTAAAATTCTCGGAAACTTCTCGGTTTGAAAACATGATATTAGAACTATCATATTATTGTTGTGCCCCAACATCAAATTGATGGGCATTACAAAAATTTAATTTTTCAATGAGAAAATAAAATTTACTTAGAAATTTAAACGAATTATTCTTAAAACTTTTTTAGATGTGACAATTTTCAGAAGACAATGTTTGAATCATCTTGGTGTAACAAATCTGTTTTTTCTTGCCTTACCTTCAATTATCTCTCCAAGCACCTTGCTGTTGTCAAAAGGTCTGTTGTTTTGAAACTTGAAAGAGCAATAAAATTGTCATCTGCCCAGTTCCTTTCTATAATTTACGTAAAGTTGTAGTGATCTTTGACTTCAATGACTATGCTTCAAACTATTTGGACAGAATGGTAGATAGAAGTAGGAGGCAGATTTTAATAAAATGCCCCGCACTTCAGAACAATGCCCTTTTGCATTTTTCATTGATTTGGACTTCAGTTTCCCCCCCTCTTCCGTTAATTTAAAGCATTTTTCACTGATTTATAATTTTAATATCAGCTTGAAGGTAGTTGCTACAATAATATTTACAAGATGCAACAAATGTTTGTCAAAATTCCTAAGTAACCTATTCTATTTCTTCACTCAGTAATTGTAATGTCAGCCATTGCGGGTATGTAATGTAAGGTTCCTGTGATGCCTATCAACGTTATTGCCAGTTTGGCCAATTTTGGAATAACTAAAGAGGTTTCTTGGTAAAGAACAGTCCAAACAAAAAGTTTGCGAGCCAAGTTTACTTGAATGAATGGAAGAAGCCTCGATTACAACAGTAACATAACCAACGGCTTGAGTTGTTCATCTGAACTGGTTTTGATCAAATTTTGTACGTCATTTTTCTTTAATTTTAGGGCATTCTTGAAACCTTTTAAGAGCGTTTTATTGATTTTTGTCACAGTTTAGGTTATCAAAATCCATCTTCTAGCTATTAGACTAAACTGTATCAAATATGGGAAACTTTGAAGAAATGCTGCTACACAACTTCGGGGTGAAGAATTTATGAATAGGGTGCTATGTTTGCATTATAACCCTGAAATAAATAACTTTCTCAAACAAGAACTTAAAACCTGAATTCCAACTTAAATTAGTTAATTGTGTAATCAATAGGTGTCATATTGACCAAAACTTAGAAAAATTAGATTGTGTATCTTTTAATAATTGTATGTCTAACATCTTTCTGTCATAATCGATTTTGTAATGTCCCCCCCTCAATCACTCTCCCTAGCCACTTCCCTTCCTCCTCGACCCTTATCAGTCACCTTTGCTCAGTATCTGACCTTGGTCGGCGTTATATGTTGCAACTTCGATGTAGTAGCTCCTCCTCCGAATATTACTGTACAATGAACTGCACACGAGGAGAATAATTTATTAGTTCGTTTCAAATACATACGTCCATGTGATGGCTCCGATATCCTATTTTCCGACCGGGGGTTTCCAAAAATTTTAATTAAGGTGCTGGGGGTTTCCGAGAACTTTAAGGTGCGTTTCATTCAGTGATTTGTGTACATAAATGCTATATATTTGTCATGTTTTAATTCTGTTCATTTTGCAAAATGTTGTTTATTGTTTTTGTAATTTTAATTGCAACTTGAAGATGAAAATAATTATCACGATTGTAAATGTTAACTGTATAATATACATTTTAATAAATTGGATATATATTTTTCTTATAATATTTTATCATGTACAAATACAGCGTTAAGTTCAACTTCGATTAGTAAAACTTCGGTAATGTTATATGACAAGATCGTAGAGATCCTTTCCAAAGCAATGAAATTAACTACAAGTATGTTTTTGCCCTTTCTCTCCATATCTATGTAATGCCAATCCTAATAAAATTCATTCGTTTTCCCCTAAAATCAGGCATTTGGTAGAATAAGCATGTTTATTGGGATATCTTGCACAAATCTTAATAGATTTTTGATTTCTCTTGTCATTCATATTTTATTACAATGCATACCCACTGTGTGCACCATATCCACTCTCAGGTTAAAACATAAAACCTTTACTAACCATTCAATATGTCCTGAGTTCACCAAAGCAAAGCTTGGAACTTTTCATCGGTTTCTACATAATTAGTGGGTACAGATGTCCTCGTGTATTGTTTTCACTGTTATTCATTGACAGTAAGAACTATTGTGCTCATGCAGCGGAGTAGAGATGTTTTACAACAGTCCCGTAACTGGAGTACAAATTTATTGCACATTCGGGGTCATGTAAATAAATGCCTCATTTATATCTTCTATTGAATTTAGGTTACGTCCAAATGTTTCAAATGAAGAGTGACTTCAAGAAAACTGAATATTCTGAAAAAATGATGGCAGTTTTGATGAAGATAAACTATTTACTTGTAGTGGTCATGATTGAGAAAGTATATATTAACACATCTCGACGACGATGAAAGTGTATAGTAATACAGCTCGACGACGATGATGATGAATCTATATAGTAATACAGCTCGACGACGATGATGAAAGTGTGTAGTAATACAGCTCGACGACGATGATGATGCAAACAGTACAGAAGAAATGTTTTGTTCAGGTAGAGGCTGTATGTGTAAATGAAAGGAAAACAAGTTTTGCTATAAATTGTGGGAAAAACAAAACAAAAATAGGGTCACAAAATATTTTAACGCTGCTAAATTTTTCACATGGGTGTCTATACATGAATTCATGAATTTTGACTTGACATTATCTAGTTTTATGAAGTTCACATTGTTTGTTGTAAACGAAGTGGAAACTGCAGTGTTTCAGTTGGACCTCTTCAGATTGAGATCATTGTAATGTGAATTTTCTTTGTCTGAAAGGAGACCAATCCATTCCATTGAACGGTGATCTCATGACTTAAAGCCCCTTGTTATTCCAATTCTTAAAGATATTTAATTATTATTAGTTTGATGAAGATTATTATGAAACCTTGATGCATTGTTCCCTCATCTATCACCTTCTTTCATAGATCCTGATATTTAAGCATGCAAAGAAGTGTATTTTTACTTACATTGTTCGTCATGGCAGGGTATTCCAGCATTGATCATTCAGACTACTATAATCTAATGCAATATTTCTGAATTAAGTCATTTTCCTTGTGTTGTTATCCATCTAATTTTGACAATGTTATGGTCAGTAATAAATTAATCTTAAAGTTAATTCTCAATTACCTAAATTTTCTAAAAATATTTTGTATTTAAGAGATTGGATTCTAACGTAGTATAAAACTAAATTAAAATCTAGTGTAATAAAGAAATGCATTTTTTTATTATAGTCATTTTGTATGCTTTAAACAAAAACAGCAGCAAAAGTGCAGCAATGACTTGAAAATGCTGTTTTTAATTTGAGATGGTAAGATCTTAAAGATGGATTATCTTTTATAATGAGAAAGAGCTAAGCAATAAATGCTAGCAATTATGAATGGTGAAATTCTTGGTGGAGCGTAACTAAATTTCGAATGTCTATTGCGTTCAGTTTCTGCATAATATTTGGATGCTTTTACAAAGAACTAAAAGTGTTAGAGATAGAATGACCAGAATTATAAGTATTTTATTTTAACAAGAGTCCAAATTGAGGGGTCTACTGTGCTTGGATTGAGAGGAAAACAGTCAGCTGCATTGTTCGGAATGAATTTCTAGTACTACTGGAACAGCTAAATGGTCTATTATTAACTATGTGACGAACAGTTATTTTCCTGCATCTTTTGTTACAATTCTTCAAATGACTTAAAAACGATGCATTGAGGTTTCTCTTTATTATAGTTATACATTACAGTAAGAGCTTGAGCATGAGTAAATTTGTTTTAATTGGTCAAATGGTCACAAGCTTTTTGGTGTTGTTTATTTAGTTCATTCCAGAAAAAGTAGTTCAATGATTATTGTGCTGATTATGGCCATGGTATTTTTGATCAGCAACATTGAGGTTATGTAGTGAAGAAGCACCATAACCACGTGTTTCCACTTCTGTAATAACTAAATATAATGTGAACACTGGACCAAATGAATTTTATTGTCATTTTCATAGTAAGATTATACTTGTTTTCTTTGCTTAAGGTGGGAATGATTGCAAGTAATTTAGTTCAATAATAAAAAGATATTTGAAATTCCTTTATTGATGTTTCCGAAGCAATGGAATTTTGTTCATTTTTCTAAATCTAAATGAAGCAAAATTGCATTGCTTTTCTGACTACATCAGTGTATTTCTTTTTAATATTGAGACAGACAGGTAAAGTAAGTTCATTGAATTGATGATGTATGAACGTAAAGTGTGATTAGTGCTGTTTGCAAACAGCATTTGAAGATTAAGCAAGTGTTAAAACTATTACTCTGTCTCTTTTGTGATAAACTCCCAAAATTGTTCATGCTTTTTCCTTTTTATTATACATTGGGTAAGGTGCATTATAGTTTGTTATGGACTATAAGTAATAAAGCACTCAAATGTATTGTGTTTTATTAGTAATTAAATATTTGTTTAATTAAATATCTTTGAAAATAATTTCTTGCAATGCAGAGTATTACATGTCCTCGAATTTCATGTGCTCGGTCTAGTTAAGGAATAAAAAAAATGCAGGCAATAATTAAATGAGATGAGTTTCTCATAAATTCATATCATTTGTGGTTTTATTGAGCTAGTTTGATCGGTTCTACTTAGTTTTGAAAGAAATGTAAAATTCTGTTACTAACGTCAGTGTTGCAAAATTGTAAGTGATGCTCTTTTTTATTATGTTTCTGTTATTCCCAAGATGGGAATTAAAATTGTCTGATGTTTGTTCCTTTTAGAGTGACTGAGGATGATGTATTGGCCTTCTTCAAATTTACTAGAGAAGATATTGTAGATATCGCCATTCCTATTCCCTTCAAAGCCAAGCGCAATGCTAAACGGCCAGTTAGAGCTATAATTGCCTTCCCTACTGATGAAGGCTTACAGGCAAGTAAACAAAAAATCTATCCTTTCAGTTTCTATCTTTAGTTTTGTGACCCTTCCCCAATATTATTCCCAATCACTTGTAGGCTTGGTACATTTGACATTATGAAAATTGAAATTATTGCTTCAACTTCTTCCTTTTTTCCTCTCCTTTAATTTTTTCCCTTTTACAATCGTGCATTATAAGGAAATAGGACTTCTTCCCCCTTCACCCCTTCTCCCTATCAATCTCTTTCGCCAAAGTTTCCCAGGGGGTTAAGTATAGTGGGATTACAACATAATTTCACAGTCTTTCTAGATACTGCTGTTTCCCAAGATGTTCTGATGACATGCCTTTAAGTACTTATCTTTTGTATAATATATACAATCTTTAGCAAAACAAATTCCTTAATTTCACTTTCACACTAAGCATATTGAATCTTATATTGAAGCTTTTATTTTATGTTCAACTTATACACTTTTTCCCATCTCCAGAGTAAGATCACAGCATGCCGCACAAATTTCCCTGAAATTTTTGTTGATTAAACATGATTTTTGTGAAGATTTATAAATTCATATTTTTAAAAAATTGCTCGGAAATATACATTGAGTCACAAATAGAAGCAATGCTATCTGTGAAAGTGTGAACCACTGTATCCATTTTTGCGTGTGCTTTAGAGATTTGTAACAAAGGTTTTTATTATTTGTTTCTATGTGTAAGTATGCAAATCTGCTACTTTACACTGCAATTCTTAGCTGACTTTTACAATGTTCATCCGAAAGAGATTTGCAAAACCTTCAAAATTATTATCCATGGCCGTAAAATCACTAAAACTGTTGTCTGCAAGTTCTATTTACATACTGTGTTGCCTGTTTCTCTCATTGCCACTTTCAATGTGTATGAAGATTGAAAATCCAAGGTTAAGTATTAGCCCTGCATAGTGTTCTAGTCTACTAGTCTAAAATATATTCATCAAGTGGTTTATATTTCCCTGGATGAAGAAACTTGGTGTATCGGCTGTCTAGCACATTTCATTGTTCAAGGGTTGTCCTTAAAATTAAGTCTCCAAGTCACTGCGGTTAGAAGGAATTTGTTTTCATACAATCCAGCAATACTGGCTGTTGCCTGGTTCTCCCACTCGAAATCCTCACCACCCTGAGCTCCACCGAGTCTCGACGTGGCAGCGGTTTGCGATGAAGCTTCCACTTGACGTACCCACCAGATGTCAATTATGCTCTTATATTCCCTTTCCTTTTTAGGGTAGACATTCATTCTCAGCTATGTAAAGTGTATGTAGAACAGTGTATCAGCATGAAAAGCTTGCACAAATGATCCAGAGAATTTAAAAATGGACATACAGATTCTATGATGAAGAGCGAGCTGGACATCCATTGGTTTTGAACAAAATAATTGCCAAAATAGAAAAGGCAATGCTTGAAGATCGACTGGTGACTGTTGAGAGCTCTGTAACATGATCTCTGATTCCAGTAAGACCACATTTGATAAGATTGTGTTAGAAGAATTGGGATACCACTTGCACTTGGTGCGCACTTGTCTGCCCAAAGTGGTCCTCGAAAATGCTAATGCATCATGTTAACGCTCATCCCCACATCGCCCGTGTAACAATCACACTCATTACCTAATTTTGATGGAATATTGTCACACACACACACACACACACGCCTCGAGATTGCCCCCAGTGGCTATCATCTGTTTACTGAATTGAACAAACACCTGGGCGGAATGAATTTCAGTACTTATGACAAGATGAAGAGGAGGTTGTGCGCTACCTGTGCAATGTGGCAGGAGAGTTGTATGACAGGCATAAAAAAGGTGAAGCTCTGCATGCAAAAATTTGTTGATCGTAACGGTGATTATGTAGGAAAATAGCAAAAAGTCCAAGCTTTCCACAAATGTGTGTGTCATTGCAAATAAACGTGTTTTACTGTTAAAATCTTCGGAGGCCTTATTTTATGGACAACCCTTGTACATCAGTTTCATGACAAGAAGTGCACTGCAATGTTTTCTTGGGAAAGAAATGCTGCTTGTTTCTTTTCTTTATTAAGGGGGCCTTGCTCACCTTTTTTTGTCAGCAAATAAGTGAAATGTAATATTAGAATAAATTATTTTTCAGAAATGTCTTGCCCAGACAAAGACAACTTTTCAAGACCGGGAAGTAGTTGTGGAAAGACATCAGATGGTATCAAAGGTAGCAGTGGGAGAAAAGCGTTCTGCAAATGATACAAATGAGACAACTTCTCCAGAAAAGCATCCCAAAACAACCGATGGTTCAACTATGGAATTGGATTTGTTTGTGAAACACATACCGAGGGAGTGAGTAATTTTACACGTTACCACTGATCTTTCTATGAAATTTTAGTATACCACATTTATTTTTTATCAATATTTTGTGTTGTATTCCCTGCATTTATAAACTATGTAATTCAGTTTTACTTTAAATTTTTATTTTCTTAGATGCAAGTTTTAGTATACTAGATTATCTGCTCTTTTAGAAACTCTTTATTATCAATTATATATATTTGAAATATTCTATTAATATCAGTCAGTGATTGGTACTTATTTTATGCAATATTTCAAAGAATTTCAGATCTAACACTAATTATTTTTCAAATTTGAATGTAGATTTCTATTCATTATCTATTACACGTTTATACTCTCCATCATATCTCGACTTCTTCTTTACTTATTAAATACCACTAGAGTTCAAACTTCAAATATTAATTAATTTGTCTGTTAAGGAGAAGCCATATTCTTAGCATTATTGTTGACTTTCTGTTGCTAAATTTTAAGAATAACATTTCTTCTGTTTTTTTCTCCAGAGCTTCTGATCGCCAGATAAAAGATTTCTTTGCTTCTGTTGGTGCAACAGTTACAAAGGTGAACCTGTTTTCTGAAAGTATTACAGGATCCACTCGTGGTATGGGCTTCGTGTCCATGGCTGACAAGGAGTCTGTGCAGGTTCGGATTTTCAACACATCTTTATTAAATTGTCTTCAATTCTGAATTAGAATGTTGCATTCACTAAATATTGCTTGACTTCAGAGAATATTTATGTATAATTATTATTCTATACTCTCGGTGTGATCAAATTTAATATTTAGTCTAATTTAAAACAATGTTTGTTTGCGTGTACAGAAAGGGCTGTCACTGGATTGTAAAAGATTTTACAAGAACAAAGTTCGTGTCTCGGTTCGCCGTGACCGCGAGCACTTGGATCGTCCTGATAAGGGAGAAGTTCTTCCCAATTTTAGCACATTCATTGCTAATATACCTATAAAGTAAGTAGAGGAATATCTCTGTTGTATGTTTAATTGCTATGTAGTTAACACTCAATTCTAAGCAATATAGCTTTGAAATTTTCTTGTCATGTTTGTGCAATTTATTCCAGAGAGAAGGTTGATATACTGAAGCAAGCACTAACAAAACATTTTGAAGCCGCTAATTGTGTTGTGAAAACACTACATTTTCCTTTAGCCACCAATAAACTCAATAATAAAGGATATGCTTTTATTGTGTTTGAAAATGAAGATTCTCTGAAGGTTGGTATTAGTGTTGGATAATACTGACCCACAAAAAATTATAACATATTTGTGGCAAATAGCGGATAAATTATCAGTGTTCATTTCTATTTCCACATAATTATTGTTTTGACTATTATATTTTTGCTAGGCATCAGTACAAATATATTTTAATGTTTCTTTAATCAGTGATTTTTTAATTTGGATTCTGCAATATACTTTTAGTGTCCTGATGTATGGTTATTTCCTTATTTCTAAAACTTAGTTGAAGCTGTGACATCAGGGCATTATTTTTGAAGTTAGTCTAGTGTTTTATTTCCTGTTGCAGAAAGGACAAAGTCTTGACAATACAGAGGTGCAACTTGGCAACAATAAAGTGACAATTCAGGTGTCAGATCGCTGGCCAGAAAATCCTGAGTCTGTTGGAGACAAGGCAAGAGAAACCAGTGCTCATCGTGGTGCTCCTAACTCTTTATCAGAGCCTCCAGGAAGTGGCAAGCAACGTAAACGCAAGAAAGGGCTTCCACCAATGGGTGGTCCACAGGGACTTCCAGGGCCACATGGACTTGGGCCTCATGGGTTGCATGGACCTCCAGGTCCCAGAGGACCTCTTGGACCACATGGCCCATTTGGTCCCCGTGGACCTCCTGGTCCCATGGGTCCCATGGGTCCCATGGGTCCAAGAGATATGGGCCCACCGAATCGTTGGGATGGCCCACCAGATTTTCAAGGTGATGGACCAGAGTTTGGCCCATATGGCCCTGAATATCAAGATTATCTAGAGTATCTTGAATATCGAGATTACGTAGCAATGAGGAAAGCCTTTGATGAGAGGCGAGAACTGGCAGAGTTTAGAGCTCGTTATCGTGCAGAACGAGAAGATGATTTTATGCCACCACCACAACAAGCAATGCAACCACCTTTGCCTCCTCCTCCACCTTCATCGAATCAAGGACCTATGGGATCAGGTGGTTATTCCCGTCCTCCCAGTGGACTTCATAAGGAAGCACGTTTAGATGATGGTTATAGAGGATCATCATATCCCGGTGGTGGCCCAAGGGATCGTGGTGGTTTTGATGATGGCCCTTCAGGATCTGCCAATCGTTCAAGAGAATATCGTGATTTTGATTATTCAAGTTCTCGTGGGGGTGCTGGTGATGGATTTTCAAACTCTGGTTCAGGTAAGTTATTTAACCAAACGCATGGTTTTATGTTTTTTCAATAGTTAGTTTTATGAATTAGTAGTAACAATTGTGACTTATTGAGTAGATTCTAGAGAATTAATGGATTTTTACTTTTTCGCCTTACGAATTCTTCGTGAGAAAGTTATGTAATCATACAACAGGAAATGCTGAAATTTCACCAGAAAAAAACATATTGCCAGATTCTGGTAGCGAAAAAATGGGTTTACTCTGTTGATAAACTTAGAAAAAAAATCCAAGTCATTGTGTAGCCAGAATTGATATTTTGTTGGTTCTTCATACCAAAAAATCGTTTGACATCAAAATGTCTGTCTGTCCATCTGTGGTCAATGCTAGCATCTAAATCGTTCAGTCGATGTTCTTCAAAATTGATATACCCCAGTCCTTTTGGCTAATGTTGCAGCCCCTGGAATTTGATATTTATATTTTAATTTTGGGGAGTACTTAATATTAACCCCTCCCATTTGGAATAAAAATCCTCTACTCCTAGTGTAGCCCCAGAATCCGTTTTGTTGGTTCTTTATACCAAAACATTGATAGCAAAGCGTTTGTCTGTCTGTCTGATCAATGCTAGCACCTAAACCATTCAGCTGATTTTCTTTAAAATTGATATTCCCTGATTGATCGTAACGAACTGGAGGCTTGGGGAGTTTGTAACAGATATTTTGATTGTTGTAATTTTTTCACATGATTTTTTTACATTTATATGGGTTTGAACCAGGCAGTGCTTTTGTGACATAGCGGTATGAGTGCCAGCATGTCAACTCTGTCTGAGGATCTGAGTTCGAGTCTCAGAATGGAAAAATAATTTGCTGCTGGAAAACACGTTTACTTGTTTATGTAGTAGTATAATGTTGCGGAGCATTTAGAAACAATGTGAGAAAGTATGTTCTTTGGCAGGTGGTAATTGAATCTGGGTTGTGAATTGTGTTAATTCAGTTTAAAAGTGCTGAGTAGTTTAGAAGTCACATTTTCCATTCATGAAAATTTCACATCCATTATTTTATTTGTAATATCACAAAACTGTATTCTCACATATCCTTTTACTGGTTTTATTATGACATAAATATACATTGAGCTCCAGGGGTAGTACATCTTACCATTTACTATGTTTTAATGAACAGTAAAACAAATCCACTAAAATGCAATACCAGAGTGTTCAGGAGCTACAGTGTTACTTCTGACAATTTTCTTTTAAAATCAGAAAAGAAGTTGCCAAAGGGATGGTACTGCAAGAAATAAAAAATTTAAAAAAAACAAACTATATTTCAAATACTGTACCCTTTGAGCAGTACCTTAGCAAATGGGCCAAGAACTGCACATAATCTTATCTTTCCTTTCCTTGTCCTGTCCTCACCCCTTACTTACACTTCCATACACTACACTACCACACATATTGGGAGACCCATTAGGCTTCAGCTAGTCTTGACTGTGGCAATGCCCTGCTAGTGGGAGGCATCCTGTTGGAGATAACCCTGTTAGCTGACATTTAGGTCAGTGCCAGATCTCACCATCCAAGCTGGGGATGATCACTTTCACCTCTTCTGGAAGACTTGGATTTTGTGTGTGCGTGTGGAAAAAAGAGCAGCGTTGTTGTTGTTGGGTTTTTTTGTCGTCCTTGAAATCTTATTTTACTGCTATGGCTATATCTGCTTTGGATCTCTTTTTGTCACCTAGTACGTTAAATGCTGAGTTAATTCTTTTGATCCTCTTAGGGTGTTTTTTCTTTCCCTTTTCTTTCTCCAAAACTATTGCAACATCTACTTTTTGCTTCCATTTTTCCAACTCTGCTCTTTTTAATTCCATTTCAAGTTTAGTATCTTTGTGACTTAGTCCTCTCACTTTCCATGTTGCAATATGTATTTTCCTTTTCTAATTCATAGACCTAAGTTGTACCTTTGACATCTATGTTTTATTAGCCTTTCCGATTACTTGTAATTTACCAGTAGTTAAGAAGTGTCCCCTGACTGTGTTATGGGTTCTGCACAAGGTAAATCGCATTGACTGGGGCTGCCAATATGAAAACATTATTTGGCATGATTCTCAAAGATGTGCCATTAAATATCATAAGGAATTATAATTATCTTCACTTTGCTCATCATAAGCATATCTTTTTGTAGGGCTGAACATTGCTCAGATATGTAAGACTTGAGTAAATTAATGTTAATCAAACCACAGGTCTGTGTGAAATATGACACTTGTCAATTTGTGTCATAACGTATTACTGAAAATCTACTGTAGCGTTTAATGGAATTTGAATCATCATCATAAACGTGACATAAAAGCAATACTTATGCTTAAATAACATTAAATTGCTTAGTTCTATTCAACTTTGTGATATTTGTACAGGTGCACTGCCTGAGACATGGAGGGTCAACTTCGATTATTTATCAAAGATGGATATGAATTGTTCATTTAGTGTTTTGCACCTGTGTTGCAGGACCTGGTGGCTATGGCGGCGGTGGCAGCGGTGGTGGTGGCGGCGGTGGTGGCAGCGGCGGCGGAGGCGGTGCTAATAGCAGTGGCTTTTTAGCATCAGATCAGCGTGGTTCTGGTGGTTACAACTACTCAGACAGCTTTACATCAAGTCTCAATAGCAGCCGATATCAGACTGCTGCAGATTCTACATTCTCACGTAGTCGCTTGCTTGATAATAGTGGTGCAAGCTCTAGTGCTCTCGGTTTCTCTCGTGACAGTAGCACCACATACCGGGATTCAGCAAATGGTCTTGATACATCCACTCGGGGAGGTGGGCTATCAAATTATAGTTCAGGCTATCCAAGTGGAGGAGGAAGTGGAGGTGGTTATTCTGGTGCTTCTGGGTCCTCAAATTTGCGCTCTTCAGCTCTTGGTTCTGGAAGATCCCAATATGGTCATATGTCACACTCAGGACTTGACAGAGGCTCTACATCATATGGTGGTGGAATGGGGGAAAGTTCTGGATTTGGTGGTTCAGGCAGTGGCTCCTATTCTGGACCAGATCAGCGATTTTCTTACATGTCAGGTTCATCTTTACCTCCCCTTCAGGGAGATCGGCATCGTTATGGTGGTTACCCTATGTCATCAGAGCCTCCCGATCAGTTCAGAAAAGGCTCTCAATATGATAAATCAGATTCTGGCCCTAGATTAGGGCCAGTAGGTATGGCTGGTAACTCTGGGTATGATGGATACTCAGGAATGAGTGGATATCGTGCTGGCTGATGACAAAGGTGAATTAATTTTGGAATTAGGTAGTAAGAGAAACAAGGGCGTTAGCATCTTGAGCATCTAGCGTATCACGGCCACAAGAAACTTTAGGAGATATTTAGTTTCTTTTTATTGTAGTTTTGATGCAATGATGTATTCCAAAATTAATCAAATGTACAAAAATAACTGTGGCCAAATTTGTTTTTGTTTCTTTTTTTTTTTTTTTTTTTTTAAAAAATTTTATATTTTTTTCTTTTTAATTATTTGAGAGACCAGTGTAAAATACCTCAATTTATAGGCTGATAATGGCATGTGACCAAAACTTTGGTAATATTTTATCTTTTTGGTGGTAGCACAGTTTATCTTAATAAGTTATGTAAATAATAATAATAATATTTACAATATGAATCTTAGTAATTATATGTGACGTATTACATTTGAAAGTAGTTATCTAGATGTATATTCCTCTTGTTTTCATAACCACCAGTCCAAATTGATTGCCCTGAAGAGACTGCTGTTATCATGCACTTGATTCTCATACAACACACATCATAGTGTGCAATGCAAATAATTACCTTAAATTTTTAGTGGAGGACATTTTGCATTTTGTAATTATTAATTACAAAATATATGGCTGTATATAATGTGTTCTGAAATAAATATTCATTTATATTATATTGAAATATATTGATAATTTTCATATAGAAATCATAATTTTAAAAGTTTGTGACATTAATATTTTAGTTACTAAGAAAATGTACACAATTGATGTGTGTTTCTAATTTAAATAATAATATATTTTAATATTTGGACCAGTCTCATGTTAGCAAAATTTGCTTGACACATAATGATAATACACACATCATTATACTGTTCTGAAAGAAAGAAAGAAATGGGTTCTCTACTAATTACGAAGTTTTTTTTTCTTCTTTTTTTCCCCCTACGTGTTTTTTATTATTATATATATTATTTTTATTTAGTAGATCTGAGTTCTGAGTTGCATCAACATGACATTGCTGACAAAATCGCAGACTTGGTTGTGTACAACCCTTAACTAGAAATTTGTGAAGAGATGTTGTTTGATATTTACTCAATCTATGCACTATTCAATAAATATGAACTATCGTGTAGCATAACCTTCAACTATCATATTGCAAAGTTGAACATGTCTTTTGAAAAAACATCAACCTTTTACTTGTGTTTTAGAGTAAAGGACCATCAAATATTTCTTAAATGTGATTTATGAACTTTCTTCCCCTAATTATGAAGTATTGTGTGACCAAGTGGAAAACATAACTGTGGCCTTTTTTATTACATCATCTTTAGTCACTTCATTATACTGTAATCATTTATAATTATTATTTAACAGCTTACAGATTAATTATTGATGTCTTTGATAGTATCAGAAATAAAATGATTTTAAGAAATGACTACATTATATTTGTTTAGGGTTTCTAAAAGGAAAAATCTAATAACAAGAAATAGTTTAGAGTAAAAACGTCATGAAATGGCAAGTGAGAATTATACCTTGACAGAGTAGTTTCATTTAAATCAGGGGTGTCCAATTTCCAAGGTTACAAGGACTACAAATAAAACTTTTAATATGATTGTGGGCCATGTTTTCATTACTTATGCGATCCACACCTCACTTCCCTGTAATGATCTAGATCTGGACAATTATTCCGGCAGCTCTGAAATGGGGATGGAAGGAATGCAACCATGCATGATGTCATGCCATACCAAGCATAAGACAATTAACTAGAAAAAATTCCATAAGTCCAAACTTCACCTATTTTTACATTAATTGTGGTGTGGACCCTGGCAGGGAATATGTGGTAGGCACTTAATGATCTCGCACCTGACAAGGTTGTGCAGGACTGACTTTCAAGTAATAACCTTCTGCAAACCACAATAAATGGCATTGCAGGTCACACGCTGCCCCGCGAGCCACTAGTTGGACCACCCTGATTTAAGTTGTGGAATGTAATCTTGTTTTTCTTATTCTTATACCCACTCTTCTGCAAGTAAGTCTCTAGAATAATTTTCAATTCTTACTAAAAATTGAGATAATGTATTTAAATAAAGTACCTTGAGGACATATTGATGAGGTGTGATAGGTTTTGGCTGAGTAGCATCTCATTAATGTACCCTCATAATTATTTTTTTAATTAAATGCTGAATGGTTGCTTGAATGTGTAGGTCACAAGGTGGTGTAATTAGCTCACAAGGACAAAAGACTAAGTGTGTAATAGAATTCCAATCATTTAATTTGATTTAAGTAATCTGCATACAATTAGTTTGATTTCTAGTGTGTTATATGTACTAACATTTTGTGTGTGTGTGGGCAAACGAAATAGTAAATATTACTTGAAAATATTTATTTCAAATCATTCCCTGAATATAGCTTTCCGATGTCTGAATAAAATTAATCATGAAACTTATTTGCTCAATAGTGAAGGAATTCATTTGGTTTTCTTTACTTCGACAGTATTATTATTTATAACTTCTTACAACTTTTCCAGTATTGTTTTAAATATGGTTTCATTTTGCTTTTATAATTCCGGATTTCCATGGACATGATTTGTGAGAGTGGGAATTGAGTAGGTGAATTAAAACGATCTGCAGTTCCTTTTATCATGAGGGGTCAATACACTTATATCTTCAGTTGAACAAGTATGACATGGTTTGAAGAAAGTTAATTGTTTACAAGTATGATATTTTATCTCGATGCTAGTTGTAGATAACATTTTCATGATAGCAGTGCATTGAAAGGTATTTGAGTTTACATGAGAACAACTGCAAAAATTCCATTATAAATTATATATAATATTCAACCAAATTTATTTACATATCATCACTTTGAAGTTCTGCAAAACTTAATAAACCCAAGGAGTTTTCATCTTCAAATCTATTAGCTTTATTTGAATTGTGGGTTGTTATTGAACCTCTAAATTTATGGTATTTAGATTCATCTTGTTAACATGCACCAATCCTGTTAGCATGAAAAATAAATGTGAACTTGTGAAGTAAAGAATGAGTGTGTCGATTTTCTTATAATTATAGGTTTACATTATCTTTTGCAAGAATTTCAAGTGAATGTATTCTTAAGATTGTTTATTTGTTATTTTTGTCTTTACTTTGTTAAAGTAGCTGTAATTTTATTGACAGAATAATGTAAACATTCAGGGATAGATACAGGTAATATTTCTTTATATATCTTAAATACTTTGAGAGAAGTTCTTAATTGCAACATTTATTTTTGAGGGAGACATTCCTGCATAAATCCCTGCATCCATGCATTCGCAGAAAAAGAAAATATTGGTTTCTATTAGACGTGTAACTGATCATATGCCACAAAAGTTAAATATTAAATGTTGCAAATGTAATTAATAACTCTTTACTTCTTGCTAATCATTTTTAATTGAATCATGATTCCACTCTCTGCTTCAGGATTTGTGTACTTTTTCATCTGTGTTTTGTGGGAAGTTCCAAGGAAGAGCTGAAAAAGTTTTTCAAATATGATTTTCACTTTTGAATTATCAGTAGAAAAGTGTAAATTGTACCTTGATGCATAAATCTTAAAATATGAAAAGGTATCTCATTGAAAGGTTTTTGTGTGCATTCGTATGCTGTAAGGTTTTGCGTCAGAGCATTACTTTTAAAAACGATGTCCAGAAATAATTTGATTTAATTGTATTTTTATACCTGAAATTATTTGTACATGTCTCAAAGTGTTATAACTTCAATGTTCCCATGAAATTGTGTATGGGGCTCATTCTGTAGAGGTATAATACAACCTGAAGTTGTCAGATCATGTTAGTATTTTTACAAATGTTAAGTAGGCAAAAAATACTCAGGCAGATACATGATGCAAAGATTAATTTGATATGCAATTTAATAACTTGGGGGTTGTTTTGATTGGCTATTTGATGAGTACTGAAATGGAGGGTGGGCAGATTTTTATGTAATTTTTGTAGTGCATGTTCTATTTCAATGGTAGTTTTATTTTCACATTTGTAAAATAAAGTCTTGGGATATTGCTAGTTAATTTTGAGCCATTGTAAATCAATTTCATGGCTGATACCCAAATTTTGTTGATCAATTTCATAACTTTAGTTATTCCACGCAAGTGGTCTGTTAATCTGATGAGGATTAATGGAAGATTCATACCTATTTTATAAGACCGAGAATAAGAGGAAGCAATTTGTGGCCAATGTTCATAGGGTTCAATTGTGAAAAATCTCTTGTGCACTTGAAAAGTGTGATGGTAGGCTTATGCAAGTGTGGGGATGTGCTGTAGTTCATTATGTGTCAGTATTAATCAAATTCCAACACTTGTGCTCTTGCATAGTGAATGATAATATGTATTTTATTTTTTGTAATAGTAGTAGTAGTGAACATACAAGTGAAATTACCTTTCTTATGTTTAATAAATGTTATTCAATCGCAGAATATGTATTAGCCCATGTCAAATGTAAATATTCTACAGTTAAAGAATACATAATTCTTGGTCAGTGATAAGTAATAGCAATACTGTTCACCATTAATGCTAGTGTAAAATTTTCCACTGGTCTCTGTATAGCTCTTCGCGTTTTATGAAAATTTGCTTAATATAATGTAGTTGTATTTGTCATTCAATTCCATTAAGTAATGTTTTCTTTTAGCTTTTAAGATGGAGTATTTTCTCACTACGTTTTTCATTAAATCTTGTTTGAAGAGTTGTCCAAAGATTTTATTTCCACGTCCAACATCTTATATGAAATTTAGAAATATGAGCATAAGGGATTACAAATTGTGATAGCACTTAACATAGTCCAATCTTCTTACTGAGAAGAAATTATATTGTCATGAGTTTGTTTATTTTTATATAACTGGTTTTGGACAAAATTAAATATGTGTGATTAAAAACCTGACTAAAAAGAAAATGAATAGATATTTTAATGTTGAAGAACTTGAATTGAGACTACTTTGAAATTCTTTCGATTTGTAACACACTTGATTATTCATTTGAAGGACATGAAAATAACAACAACGGCCTATATAGTGTATTAGGTCATCTGCTTATAGACAGTTCATCCAACTTTATACAGTGGAACAAAGTGCTGATAAAATAAGTGTAAGATGTAGATAATATTATGCAAAAAATCCTTTACATGAGCTAAAAGTTTTACATGGAGGTGCTATAATTTCATTTTGTTAACCCAGTACATTGCCACAAAGATCACTCATTGTACCATTTATTAATATATAAACATTGGCAACTTCATATTAATTCAGTTGTGCAAGAAATTAATTAAGTTCAAGGATGTGTAAGCTTGAGAGTTTGAGCCTGACAATGAGTTAGCAGTTTCCATGTTTTTAAATAGCCTTGAAAAAATTCAGTTTTGCATGAATGTGGTGACAAAAAATTTTATATGGTATCTAAAGATGTGTGATGTGTGGGTGGTTAAAATATTAAGACAGTTAACCATCTTTATATATTCAAGGGTAAAGAACAACACTAACAATTAAAGTACCTGAATTTTTTTTGAACAAGTGCACTTTCTAGCAGTTCAGCTACTTACTTTGATTTGTTTATGGTGCGTCAAATGAGATATTAACATAGAACAAGAGGTAATTACAAAATTTTCAAATATTAATTCGGTTTAAAAGTATAAGAAAATGAGTTCATAAATCGAAAGTTCTATATTGGTGCTGTGAGCATAGAAAATAGATGATCAAAGCATGCCTTCAGTTCACAATTTCCTGTGATAACTTGTGAAAATATCAGGAAAACCATACACACAGTACTTGTCCTATCAAAATCAGGCAATGATGTTCAAGTAAGAGAGTCACAAAGTAATTATTATTGAAACTGTTTGTGGATGTGATTTATCATTAAACATATACTACACATGTGATTTTCATTCTTTATAAACACCTGCATTGTTCTTATCTTCATTTCTTATATTGGCTGATTCTCAATACTGGGTACTTGCCTTTTACTATTTGTACCTCAAAATTGAATTTTTATCCAAAAGTTGATGTATTTTGGGCGGAAGTGGATATACTTCTCTTGTGCTTGTACTTGCTAAATTCCTCCTTGATTTAATTAATTATGCTTTTTTAAATAGTCTAAATTAGACTGCCGGAAGCTCCAGATTATTAGTGATGTAGAAAATTGTTAGAAGATAAGAGATAATATATTCATTTTACTGAATTCATTGCAAAAGCTTAAGCAGCATTGGTTTAAATTATCACTCTCAGAATACAGGGAGGAAAAAAATCAGATATTGAGTACCTTTAAGGCAAGTTTATCAGATTTGAGTTGTCTTTTTTCAAAGTCAAATGTTTGCTTACAATTACTTTATCAAGAAGTTGTGGGTGCAACAAACAAATTGTGTGATAATGACATAAGAATTTCTTAGAGTGAGAAATTATAAATTCTGGAATTTATTTTGTTTGTTATGCTTTTTTGTATGGTGTTTATTGATAAACTTCTTTTAAATGATCTCTTGAAATTAAGTATATGTAAACTTTTTATCTAAATTGTAATTGTTCATATATTGGTTTGATATTTATGTTGTACGTTTTAGGCTTTCTGATTAATGCTAAAAAGTTCATCGTAAATTATTAACACATCTGTAGTCTTTCTTAAATAATATGAAATTCTATAGATTTTACTTCCTAGTGTTAATTTACATTGATTATACATGCCCTTTCTATAAAAAATTCACATGTATTTAAAAAAATGTAAAACACTAGAATATAAAAATTAAGGTGGTAATATGGTAGATGTAGACTTTAGAACAGGATGCCCTCAAGCAAATAAGGACTTAATCAAAAGAAAAATGAGGGAGGTGTTTGACCCACATGGAATGGGGGACACATCCCTAAGAATTTTGATTCAAAAATTTGTTCAATTGTCTCAGAGTAGGAGTGTTATAATACAGTGTTTTGTAACAAAACTTGCAGGAATCTCCCTTTCTGGGGAGTTTTAGTGCAAACGTGGGAAACCAACCAAACATTTGTACATCTACATTACAGGGATTTTTTTTTGTTACAAAGAGTTAACACCAAAAAATAATTAATGAAATGCTGTACTTTGAAATTGATAAATTCCAGGTGTCGTAAGAATTGATATTATTTTTGATGAGATTACAGAAATGTATGTTACTTTCGTTCGGTTCCTTGAGTTCTCGTAAGTATATTAATGGCCTCAGAAAAGCAAAATTTAGGTAAGCAACACTGAATACAGTTCACTCCTTTTAATCAGCCACCTCATGCTTCACCCTGATGAGAAAACAATTTGGCTGGTTAAACCATTGTTTCCTTGATAACAATAAAATAGACTACTAAACTAGTTTTTCATCAGTAAAAGCTAAGTATATGACCCATTTCATGTTGATGTATAACCAGCGGTGAAACTTTAGTTTTTGCAATGGAGTCGGGAGTCTGTACAAGTGATCAAACCAACTTTGATATTTTCTGGTTTTCATTAACACCCAATTTAAAATTAATATATATTTGTTGATTAATAGTTAGTTATAAAATATTATATTGCGCGACTTCTTACTTACTAAATTTGCTATTATGTGTCATCGCCTTCTGGGAGGGTGCGAGCCCCCCCCCCCTTTTCAGTGTGACACTATATAGTTAAAAAACATATCCCGAAAGAACTTACTTTTGAAGGGAAAAATAATAATGGCACGTAACTGCAGGCTACTGTATTTCAGTGGCGGCTCGTGAACACCGGTTGTGGCGAGGCCAGGCTACCGAATAATGTCGGAACCAGAGGCGGGGGCCAGGACCCACGACCCCATGTCTCCATTTTGGTAATTTTACTTGAAGTAAGTCAAAACCCTCACACATTGAGATCATGTTCCAAACTTGTTCTTCCATACACATTGTGGTTCGAAATTTTTCTTCTTTAAAGTAAGTCGAGTGAACGGTGATTTAGATTTATTGCTTGTCCCCTCCCTTCCCGTCATTTTAACTATAAATAGTTGAAAGATGAGTAAAAGTTTAAAATAAATTTAAAAAAGCGCAATTATAGCAATATTTGAAAAAAATATACTTTTTTTCTTTTCCGAGTTATAGAAAACTTGTTTGCATCGGTAAACAAATTGCAAGTATAATTTTTCTGCATTGCTAAAAAAAATAGTAACTCGCCCTTACCTCTACTCTTATCATTACAAGCAAAACGTGCGCATAGTGAAGTTTCATTTACGTTCAGAAGCAAAACAAGGGTCCATCTCAGCATTTGCTCAATGGATCAGGGAAACGACAAAAACCTGATCGAGATGGGTGGTGCATATATAAAAAGTTCTCTCGTTCAGTGTCAGATGCAATGTATCGTAAAAATAATTTATGTTTAAGAAGTCTAGTAAAACAATTCATAGCATACTAATTTAAATAGATAAAATAAGTGATTCGCAAATAATTGTATTCATTAATTTGACAACGCACCATACTACTGATGTGACTGGAAATAGATGT